ACCAGTTATGTAGATGTTCTCATCAGATAAGTTGGTAGTCCCAGGAACTTGAATGTGAGTATGATTGGTTGTATGGAGGTGTGTAAGTCATAGAGAAAAGTGATGTTGGTTAGAAAGTATCAGTAAAATTCTAAGTGTTGAGGAGTGTTTCTTGAGTTGTCCAAGAGAGTTTGAGGGTTAGTGCCAGAGTGTCCTGGATATCTCTGCATGTCCGAATCTGAATGCCCAAACTAACCCTCTCTCTTCCCTTTGTCCTAACTTTTAAAGGGCCAGACTCTCTGTACGTCATTAGTTGATAAGGCCAAAAGGAAACTGAAGGTGTGGTCAACCTGCAGATCGCAATTTAGGTATTTGATCCATAGAGGGCAGTCTCGCCTCACTAAACTTTCCTATCCAGGAAAGAGTTAACTTTTCCTGATGACGATTTTGACGTCATTTGGCTTATCTAAAATGACTACCATAACTTAAATTTGCTGTCAGTTCAAAGCGTATGCCTCAGTCTTTGTGGCAACGACTTTGATTGTAATTTCTAAACTTGACAGTTCTAAACTCAATTTCACCCCTTGCTTACAATGGGACCTTGTAAAATATAGAGAGTAAAATTAATTACTTATCTTCTGTGTCACTAGTGTCTGTGTTTAAAATTATTTCTATTCCATTAACATTTAAACAGAGCATTCCATCCCTCTGGTTCATTGCTTATCACTTGGCTTGTTACATAATGCATTCCGTAGCTCAGGTTGATGGCTAGTGTTACTGAAAGCAAGGGAAGAAATCTTGTCTGTCTTGCCTGAAATCCAAAATGGAGTCCGCTCTGTTCTGAGTGATTCTGGCAATATACACTTTTAATTTCTATCGTAGCACAAAATGTCTGCCGATATAAATATCTTGACAACACACACAGCCACACAATACCACATGCACACACAATGTGACATATCATACACACACACAGCCACACAATACCACAAGCAGCCCACATTCCTTGGTAATCTACACAAACTACTCATGAACATATACAATATAACAGCCCACATACACACAAGTAAAACACTACAAGGCAACTGCAGCACCCTAAATAACACAAGCACAATACGGCAACATACACACCTCCAATTTAAAAAAATTTTTTTTTTTTAAATCCGGCACGCTGAGGGACTGCAAGATCTTGTTTTGGCA